TTTTTTTTTTAACAGTTAAATTTCTTAAGTATGATTTTGGTTAACCATTATTTACCTCAGATTTTGCTGATTCTTTTGAGAGCTGAGCTTTACATTCTTCTTCTGGTTGTAGCTGTTGTTTGAATATATTTTCTTTCTCTATGGAAACCTACCCTTACTACACTGAATATCTGTGTACTGGAACATAACTGGTTTGATCCAACTTCCCAGCCCGGGTTCTACCGCTCTCAGAGGTGACAAGGAACGTATCTTCTTAAGTCCATGTTGCTTTCCATTTAGTTTGCTGAAAGTTTCAGCTGTATAAATACTATGAGAATAACATATGGATGAGCGTGACCTGCTCATTAATCTGAATCTGAGAAAGTCGGCAATTATGAGAAGAAACTGCATAAAAACATTTTGTGGAACCTAGCATTCAATGTCGTGTTCATTGCTAAGAGCCCTTGGCTTCCTTTTCTAAAGGGAGAAAACTTTATAAAGGATGTGTTATAAGGATGTAATATGGCATATACATTATTGTTGCTTACCACAGGCTTTCTTTTTCTTTTGAGGCAATCTTTTTGGGACATGAAAATGACCTTTAGTGGAAAATACTTGCAGTTATCCCATTATCTTTGCTTTCAAAAATGCCATTTATGTTTTCTCCTCAAGAAACAAAACAAAAGGATTAAAACAACAAGACTAACTGCATAGAAGGCAGCACATGCAGCCGCTGGAGATGCAGCGGAGCTGTGTGATTTGTGTAGATCTCTGCCCTACTTTCCAAGAAGTAGCAGTGCACGTGACCGTGTTGTCTGTTGTCTTTGGCCCCAATCCCACAAATTGTTATTTTTACCTGGAGTCTGATTGAGGTCAGCGGGATGCACCGATGCTCGGGAGGAGGAGGAGGGCAAGCAGGACCCACTGCCGACCCGCGAGGAAGGTGGTGGATCTGATCCTGGTGCTGATCTCACTTAGGAAGTGTTAGTGTTTGCTGCAGCTGTTTTGGGAAGCTCCTCAGCTCCTCCTATTCACTACCAAGTTTTCTTTCAGCATTTTTGCACATCCTTTCTGTAACCTTAGTGATTGCAGCAGATTTATTTAAAGTATGGAAAAAGCAAGTTAAGACTTCCAAAAAAAAGTTAAATCATGTTAAATTGCTAGTGGGTTATTTCAAATATCTACTTTAGATGAAGTGTGTGGTAATTGTACTTTTCGTAGACTGTCCTATGTGACTCACAAATCAAAGCACATATCAAGCTAGTCTCATTTCATTAGCTTTATTTGGCTCTGGAAAAGGATGGATCATCTTTCTAAATCACTTCTAATCTGCTTATTTTGGCAACCTCTTTTCAAGAAGGAAATTCAAAGCCTAACATGAATATGTGAAATAAAACAGGCTTAAAATTAACATTTTGCAGCCTCTGTTTCAAAGCAGATTTGCAAAAATCAGGCATGATGGACATTGTACTACATAGCTAGCTGTTTTGGCTTTGTTCTCTTCAGTTCTAATGGATCATTTCTTCTCATGTGGAGACTAGAAGATTTGGTAGATATTTTTTGGATGACAGCCTGCTGTCTTTCTGTTAGATTTGCCTTTTGCTACTGGTTATAACTTTTCTTTGAGGTTATATTCAAAATAAGCAAGCACAAACCAATAAAAGAAAAAGAGGGAAGGGAAGAAAATAATGGAAAAGTCGGGCTCTGTAAAAGATCTTAGATTAGTTCAAGGATATGCTTATATTTAAATCAGGATTGGCAATGACATTTGAGCATGTTTCAAATAAAAGAATTTGTTCCAGAGCATTTCCTGTTCCCTCTCCTCAACTATGTATTAATTCACAGAGAATTAAAAATTAGAATCACCATTTAAACGGTCCATTTTAATTTGTTACTGCAGGTTATAAAAAGCATATGATAATATGAAGTGGATCTGTATCCCTTTTATAATGACACAGTTCAGTTACTAAGTAGCATTATTTTTAAGTAAGCAATACCAATTATGACGTTTGCCAAAAGCTTTTCTTCTTCTCTTTTTTCCTTTTCCTTTGTAGGAAAATAGTTTCGGAATATGAGAAGACGATTGCTCAGATGATAGGTAGGTGTTTCTGCTACGAAAGATGCTATTCTGCACTCTGGTTTTCTGAAGGAAACATAGAAACATGTTGTAAGTGTGTGGGCTTCCTTTTGATGCTAATTCACTGCTGCTGGGAATTGGGAATACATCTGAGGACATGGTGTGTGCTGCTGGGTTACCATGAAAAGCTGCTGTTGCATTGACAGAGGGGAGACCCTGGGGCAGTCGAGGTAATAGAGGAAGGTTAAATCTCCTTCTTTTGCAGCAAAGCAAAATTTGCCTCATAGGCAGCATGTTCAAATACTCTGCTCCCAAGTCATATGTATCTCAGAGAGAAATTTAAATGACCTAAAAACCTGTTAGTCATCTGCTTGCAACTCTGCTTTTTCTTGGAGATACCAAACTTAGCTCTTTGTATCAACAGGGATTATCTGTGCTAAGTACATTGGTCAGGCCAAAACCTGGATTAACTCCAATCCCAGCTGAGCGATTGTGAGCAGCCGATCCACATCCCCAGTTATTTCCTGACTTCAAGATCTAAATTACAGATTGTTTTTTTTTGCCTCATGATAATTTAAAAAATCCCTTTGTTAACAGAATTCCTGACAGAATTCTGATCAGTAGGGCCAAATGAGGGAGGAAAGCAGGAAAAGAACCTCTAACATTACTGGGACCATCCAGACAAGCTTGAATTAAGCAGCATAGAAGAATAGTTAAATGGTCTTAAAGGCCACTAGGAGTGAACTGCTTTCTAGTTCATTCTGGGATGTGAGATGCAGGAAAAAGGCTAGTTGAGCTAATGATACCCTCTGCTCACATACAGGCAATGTTCCATGACCCAGAAACATCTGGTTGTTTTTAAAGCATTTTTTTTTCCTTTTTAGTACTTGTGTTTACACACTTATACAACAAACTTGCTTATTTTTGCAAGAGAATGAGGGGAAGTTATTTAGTTCTCCAGTGCTCTTGCTGCCATTCCATATTTCCCTGAGGGATGTCCCAGCCTCCTCTCGTGTAAAAGAAAAAAGAACTCAGAAATAAGAAATAGATGTTCACCTTTTGGCTTCATTTTCCATAGTGCTGTGTCTCTGTTAACATCTTCTATGTAAAACTGAGCTAGTCTGGCTACTTTCTGACATGATCCGTGTGAGTCTCTTCATGCAGGTGTTAAAATAGGAGTGATCACAGTGTGCAAGTAACTCATGTTTTCCATTTTCATAGAATCATAGAATGCTCAAGGTTGGACATTTGCACAGCATATTCTCTGGTGCAGCTTTGGGAACTATCATGGAAGTTATCAAATGTGACAAAGGTCCAAGCTGCCCAAAAGTAATTCTCTTGCACTAGAGAAATTGTTTCCTGTTTGACAAATTTTTTGTTTTGTCATCGGGTGGTTTATTTCAGTAATTATTGGTCATCAGGTAATTTATTTCAGAGCTTTCTGTGCGTAGAAAAAGTGACCCATGTCTGCCCTGCATTTATCTTTCCAGGGACAACTTAGGGAGTTCTTCAGCCTCATTTAGCCATTCATATGGACAAGTGCAGGACCTGTTGTTTTCTTCCAAGCATATATAGTTATCAACAGAAGTTCATTTTCCATTAGAAATTATTTTATTGAGAAACATCCTAAAAAAGGTTGTGCAACAAGAAGATATAGAATAGGGGTCCTAAGGCACAGTACAACCATGCATACCTATTTTTTCAGTATAATGGCTATAGGTAGTGCAATTTGTATCCATTTTGAAAAGAGCTGGAACAACAACTCCCACAGAACGTGTATGTATTAGAGAAGTACAAAATTCTCCTGTACAGTAATATGTTAAATCAAGGTCCTGACATCTAATTTTACCACTTTCTCCTGTCCTCTGTTGTAAGTTGCCATCCTTTTTGTTAAAAAGAATCACTTGCCCAGATGCTGCACTGTAAAGAATGGCTGCCTATGTGCTGTTTGCATATTGCTTTTCTGGAATTTCCGTCACAAAAATGTTTCATTGCTAAAATAAAATCTGCAGTTCAGCAAAAGAATTGCCTGTACTGTTCCTATGTATGATTTAAACCCTCTAGGCTATTTATAAAGCCCCCTGTAAAAGGCCAGTACAACTGAACCTACTTCAAGAATCCTCTTAAGGAGTATTCAGTTGGGTTGATAGATCCTACTCAGTTTCCTATAGTCTGTTTTATGTATATAAAATGAATAATGAAAATGTTATGATACAATGTATGATTGTGTATGTGTTTGCACATTCAAAGCATTGAAAAGATGCATTGTAAACAGTAATTTTCATTGATTTCAAGGGCTGTGGACAGTATTTGCTGTCACATACCTAGAGAATTGAGTATTACCCAACTCCGCTTGTGCAGTTAATTCCACGCAGTGCTCTGTACAGTCTGAGCTTGCAAGCTATTGGTGTATCGATTCCTACTAGTGGCTTTTTGCATATGTTTTTACTGATGGTTTCGTTTCTTTTGCCTTCCTTCTTGCATCTGCTTCAACCCCTAACACGTCCTTGTCCATCCCCATCCAGAGGGATGACCTTGCTGCACAGTTTCCAGGCTGGCCTGCTCTGCTCGTGCTGTCACTGGGTTCTGCCGCTCTCAAATGAACAGCTACCAGAGCCCACATGACCCCTGTGCCCACCACACCAGGCCCACACAAACCTCCATCAGAGCCATCCACAATCCCCCTCCCAAAATTCCTGTCCTGGAATTACTTTTTATTGTTGGATTTGAAATGTTGTTTTTTGTTTTTCTTTTTTCCATCAAAAATGTATCCATATACTTGTAAGCTTAAAGGCATTATTTAATTCTCATTGTGAAGAAAAATGGATATTATGCTTTGTGCATTACAGATTGTTGCATTACTTATTTTCTGCTTTCCTAACGATTCCCGATTTTCTATTTTGCTTCCGCTTTGTTGCTTCTTGCTATTTGCTTGCAAAAACAAACAGGCAAGCCTGGTAAGTAAAGCTTTTCACCAACTTTCACATCCACATTTTGCATTTTTCTTTTCTTTCGCTTTTATTCTCTGTTTGCTGCATTCCCATTAAGTTATGTAAGTAATAGCTGAGCCTGAAAGTAGATCTGCTAGCCCTGTGGTGATCTAATTCTGTCAATTTAAGTAAGTGTTATTCCTGAGCATACTATTACTACTTTTGGTCTGCCATAGAGTGTTTCCTGCAGACCTGGAAGCCATCTAATTAAAATCTTTTAATTACATAATCTCACAAACTTCAGAAATCTGTATATCTGTAACTGCTTAAGTAACATTTGAATGGCAGACATTATCACCACGATTCTACCGAGCAGCATTTTCAGTAAAGTTAAATCATAGTCTTAGAAAACACCTCCTAGATCTAGAGTCCTACTCTAGCCAAATGCCGGTTTGTTTTTTATAGTATTTAACAACCTTGCTTCTAAATGTGTTTTAATTGTTTATCTGAAATTGTCACAGATGCCCCTTTTCTAACACACGTGGGAAACTTTCTCTTGCTTCTCCAGTAAAAATTCCTCTTTTCCTCTGGAGTCTGTACAGCATTGCAACTCAACCCATGATGCTAGGACATACATATGTATATATAAATGTGTGTGCGTGTATATATGTGTGTGTGCGTGTGTATGTGTGTGTATATATATATGTATATGTATGTAGCAATGTAAGGAAGGGGAAGAAGGGAGCATCTGATACCGCTTCCCTGTAATTCCTTGCTGCAGTGGGGCTGGGGGGCTGCACAAAGCACTGATCCAGCTGTCTGGAGAGAGAAAAGGGCATCATGGTGCAGCAAGAAGAAAAGAACTAACTTCATAGTAGTGAGGAAGTGAGTCAAGGATTACCACCTCTTCCAGGAATTACAACCTTTTCAGGTTGCCCCAGAAACAAACAGAAAGCAGCTGCTAAAATACCATGGGCAATAATCTCTGGAGAAAAGCAAATATGAATTTGCTTGAGTTTTAACATTTAAATGCATTGCTTGATCGTGCAAGTTGATCCTTTCTCCTTCAAGGAGTTTTGCCAGCGAATAGGACCCTGTCAGTTAAGTGCTTTGGAGTTAAGCTCCTATGTAATTCTTCATCTCCAGCGTGCTTAAATGAATCTTCTGCTGGAAGGTAAAGTGATGTTTTATCAGATTTGGCAAAATAAATGAAGGATGATAAATCACAATATTTTACAGGGGTCTGTTTCTCTCAGGCCTGCTATATGAGAGCTGTTTGTTTAACAGTTACAACAACCTGCACTGCAGACTCAAGTGCAGTCCTGAGAACTTTGCTAGTTCTCTCAGTCCTTCCTGGGTTGTAGCTCTGATTCAAATGAACAACTAAACCCTTGTCAGAATACTTCAATGCTCCGTTTAATGAAACGTCAAATGAAAAATGGCAGATTCTAAAAAGTATCAGACATAGGAGAACTGCTCACCCTATTTTTAAATCCAGTATTCCAATAAGAAAACATAAATTAATATAAAACTGCCAATTTGGGGGGTTTGTTTTCAGTTCAATTTTATTTAAAGCAGTCCTTAAAACATAGAAACAAGAATTATATCCTGGGATACAAAGAATGAGTATTTTATTAGAGAATGCCAGACCTTTTCTTCTGATATTATAAAGATGTGCTAATTTATTACTAGGTTATTACCTAGGTCATTGGAAAGGAATGTTCTTCCATATAGATTTGCATTCGTCATTGGAATGTTCTTCCATATAGATTTGCATTGCTATTTTGTTCTCCTCATTCTCCTGGCTTAAGTTTTAGTTATACAGAGGAGAATCTCAAAATATGCTGTGTTTTCTGCAAACCTTAGAAAGTCTCTCTAATATTACATTTCCTTTCTGGTGTTTTCCTACAGTACTCCTAAACAAACTCCACAGATTTTCCAACACTATTTTTACTCTATTATTTTTTCACTATTTTTCAACTCAACTTGAATTAAATTAAATTTAAATGACTGGTCTGTACAGGATTAGACAAAAAGCCAGGGGATGACAATTACATATCAGAAACGGCAAATGAATTATTTCCCATAATAATGGCTACTAATATGAAAAAATGTCATTTCCTTCAGCTAATGCCTCTTCAGGCAAACAGGGAAAACCCAACATCTGCTTCTTTCATAGGAACAGCTGAGTTCAAGTGAAAAAATTCATAAGTATGAAGATGTTTTCACATTTTTTCCCAACATGAAAGTAATCAAATCCCTCAAAAACTAGAGACATTTTTCCCAGACCGGACTGTCTTTCTCTAATACTTCGCTGGTTCTTCTGCAAATGTACTAGTATACAATGTATAGCACAGTATAGTGGAAGCTATAGATGAAAATGTAATCGTTGTTCTTACTGCTACTGTCTTTCTGAAAATTGCCTCTGCCCTTTTTCTCCTAACAGAGGATGAGCAGAGGGAGAAGTCTGTGTCCCATCATACTGTTCAACAGCTGATCGTGGAGAAGGAACAAGCTTTAGCAGATCTGAACTCAGTGGAGAAATCCCTGGCAGATCTCTTCAGGAGATACGAAAAAATGAAAGAGGTCTTGGAGGGGTTTCGGAAGGTGAGTCCGTGTTAAAGTCCCCTGCCTTAAAAAGCAAAGCACAACACGTTTATGTTGCAGCACAAGGCATATTTCTAGTTACAAGTCTGATTAGGCATGATGTGACAGGGAGGGGGAGCATTAGCATATATTCGTGCTTATTTTAGGAATAGATCTAAAAAGCCTAAGATTTAGTACAAGAGTAACTTGCTCCTGTATATGACACTGCAATTCCAATAAATGCCACGTGTCTGTAAGACTTCAGCAGGTATCAGGGCTGGCTTTCAGCCTGAGAGTCTAAGAGCAAAATGTAATGTAATCCTTAGGGAAATTCCATCCAGATATCAAATGCAAAAGGAAGCATTGTGGAGCTTTTTGCATTGTGCAGTATTGCTTCAGATAGCCTCTGTGTGTCCACGTCTGTGTAAAGCTGCTTCCTTGAAAATAGTTGAGTGCAACTCCCACAAGTGGGCATTTGTCACGTACTTCAGTCTCCTGGAATAAGTTTAACGCAATCTTTTCATTTAAGAATGAAGAAGTGTTAAAGAAATGTGCACAAGAGTATTTATCACGAGTAAAGAAAGAAGAACAGAGGTATCAAGCTCTCAAAATTCACGCTGAAGAAAAACTGGACAGGTAATTAACTCTTATACACATCTTTTATTTAAGAGTTTGTGCTGCAGGACGGTTCTTGCGGTTGGACCTTGCATCCCAGTTTGCTGTTGCCCTTAGGCCGACCAGCAGAACAGACTGTTTAAGGGCTTTAAGGCTGTTTCACTGCAGAATCAGTCATCCTGTTTTAATACCAGCTCTCTAAGCCAGATCAGCAACTGCGTGCTCAGGTGGTGAGGAATAGCTGCAGGAAAGAAGTGCCAGCTCTGCCGGGATAGTCACTCCTTAAGCCACCGTAAGGAGTGAACATCTGATTGTGGCTTAAGATGGGCAGCTCTGGTTGCCCCTCTTTTTTAATGCTTCCGTGTAATGCCCTAGCAAGCACTTCTGGGGATTAACATTCAGGAATCATGTTACTGTCCCCTTTTCCGAAGAGACATCTCCTAACTTTACTGGGATGGGTCTGTGTCTGAAATGAAGCTCCACTTGGATTCGAGTCCCAGCTGTGGATCTAGTCTGTAAAACTTGGAAGACAAGTTTACACACTCCAATAACAAGGATCATTTATCTAGAATTATAACTCCAGCACAGATGTGTCAGAAGCAGGGGGGAACAGTGCAGACCTTGAGATTTTGCAGCATCTCACTAGAGAAGGCTCTCCTGTAGAGAACCTGACAGGAGATGAATCTGTGGGGTTTTTTGTTTGGTTTTGTTTCTCTAGAGCCAACGCTGAAATTGCACAAGTGAGAGGGAAGGCTCAGCAGGAGCAGGCCGCGTACCAGGCCAGCCTTCGCAAGGAGCAGCTCAAGGTGGATGCGTTGGAAAGGACACTGGAACAAAAGGTAACGGACGTCCCCCGATTCCTGGGAGACCACGGGCAGGGAATAGCTGGGAGTTACCACTGTCCCTGTTA